TATACACAGAGACGAAGGGTACCCTTTAAACAGCCCTTTTGCAAATCCTTTGCAGTAGCTTGGATATTTTATGCTCGTTTTTCAATGTACGTACAGTACATACATTTACTTGCTTATCTCTCTTTCTCACTCTCTCTCTCTCTCTCTCTCTCTTTTTCTTGTCTCTCTGTGTTCTCTCTCTCTATGTTATACGTTTGTATAGGTAGATTCATTCACCATTTTCAACGTCTCTAAAGAGTCTGCTATAATTATTCCTTTTGAATTTAACAGCTTCTTCCTTCGGATCATCGATTTTCGATAGCTTTGATACTTTCCCTTTTTTTTCTTTTTTTTACTTTTTCTTCTTCTTTTATATCCTCTCGCTCAATCATCCTTTTTTTTTATTTTGTTTTTGTTTTTCTATTTATCTGTTACTTTGAAATGAATAACGAGATTCAATATGGCGAATGAGATATACTAAAAGGTAATAAAATATAAAACAAACCTCTCTCTCTCTCTCTCTCTCTCTCTCATTGTGTTGTATTTTTGTTGTTTGCTTTTTTGTAATCACAGATTTAATTATTAATTAATTAAATATAGAATGATTAATACGTTTGTTTTATTTTTTGTTCGTGTTTGTTATCCTCAATTCATTTTAGCTTTTCATGATGATTTTTTTTTATTTCTTTTACTTTTCTTTCTTTCTTTATAACATTAACATACGTCAGGACGTGGCAATTAAATTAAAAAGATATTTTCTTTTAACCGACTCTTTTTTAACCTTCTGTAAGCATTTTGAAAGATCTTACACAGATGTTAAAACTAACGCATCACCGGTGTTCTCGTTTCGTTTCGTTTCATTTCGTTTCGTTTTATTTCGGAAAGTAGTAAGTAAATATTTGTTTTTTTGCTTTTTTTTTTTTTTTTTTTTTTTTTTATTTTGTTTAAACAAGAACAGTTGTAGAAAGAAAATGAAATGAGTAGGAGTAAGAAAGAGGTAGGAGGTGAGAGGGATGAGGAAAAAGAGAAAGAAGAAGTTGAAAAGGAAGAAGAAGATGAAGATGAAGAAGTAAAAGATAGTATTCCTTAGAGAAAAGGAAAAATATCTGGTAGATGCCGCTATATAGACTTAACGAAAAATTACTACGATAACTTTGTCTGGCAAGTTAACGATTTATAGGTTACGTTTTCTTCTCTAAATTGCACTAAAGCAAAGAACGTTTCCTACGATTAATCTTTCGCATCTTACATAACTACTACTGAGATAATAGAAAATTTTTTTCTTTTTTTTTCATATATATATATATAATTGCAATAAATTTGATTATGAACGATGGACAACAAGACGCCATGTTTCTTTTTCTTTATCTTCTGGTGTATAAAAATATTTTCTAAAATATAATATGAATATTACATGTATTTATTAATTTGATATCGTAAATATGATTCATAAAGATACACAAGGTTACTTGTAAGCTTCCTAGGAAATCTTTACGAGATAGAAACGATCTGCGTGAAATTTTCTAACCTCATCTCCAAGGGAATATCGTAGGTAACTTTACCGCACTTAATTCCGTTACTAATTTACAGCGACGTAATGCGGATATTAACGTCTAACCATTTTAATCGAACAATTTTCTTTAATGTTGACAAAAAATGAAAAATATAGACTAAATATAATATGTATATATATATATTAATAAGTAATATTAAATAAGTAATAAATAATATTAATATAATAAGTAATATTGAAAATTTGTAGTAATTTATATATATATATATATAAAAAAAAAACACTAGAATGCTCAAAAATTGTTAATAAATATATTTAATATTATTTATTATATAATTATTTAATTTTATAATTTTTATATATATTTTATATAATTTATATAATAATTTTTTGTGTGTGTAAAATATATTTCTAATATATATATATAAAATAAAATTATGCATAGAGTATTTTATTGAGTAAAATATTTCAATAAATGTTACCCCAATTATTTCTTTTATTTTTTGTTGTTGATAATTTCAATATTACTTATTGGTAAATCCTTACACATACACAAATTTATAAATAAAATTTTGTACCGATCTGAAATAAGTTTATGAATCGTTCCTAAAGGATTTTCTACGAGCGTACCTTTCGGCAATAAAATTCAAACGACCGAGTTATTGGTTAACACATATAAATCTTTAACTTTAATGTTCTTCCCAAGTATTTTAGAATCGTCTTCGGCAATTTATATTTTCACAATACATACCCTCTATCTTCTACTATTACTACTACTACTATGTTAGGGGAAGGGGTGGGGGTGGCAATTAGCGGATTTATCGGTGACGTCGATCGAAAGGAAAAAAAAAAGTAGAAAAAAAAAAACGAGAATCCAAAAAAAGAAAAAAAAAAACGAACGAACCGAACGAACGTACAAATAAACAGAAACAAAAAAAAAAGAAAAAAATACACGAATCGTTCTCATTCGTCCTACGATTTCGTATGTGTTTTCTAATCAACGTGTATACCCCGGGTCTTGACTTTCTCGTTTCAATCGAGTTTATTCAGCTACGAGTGGAAAAAGACACACACCTAACTGTTTACTACTTCATATATATATATACACACTATCTAGTACTCTTATACAAGGACAACGTGTCCTGCATTTATCATCAAACATTTCCACTACCGATTCGTATCGGAAATTAATCCATCTGATTTCAAACTGTCGTTCAGATAAGGGTCAGGACGTGTACACTAATTTGTATTATACGATATAACATATATATATATATATATATTATTAATTATTATTATTTTTTATTATTATTTATTATATATTTATATAATAATATATAATTAATTTTAATTAATTTTATTATTAATTATTATATTTTTATTAATATATTTTTTTAATTATTTAATTAAATTTTAATTATTTTATATTATATAATTTTTTAATTAATATAAAATTATTTATAATATATAATATATAATATATATGCATATATTATATTATATATTATAAATGAAATACCACCACCATCCACCACCACCAATTAATATAAATATAAATAAATATATAAATAATTAAAAGGAATATTAGTTGAAATAATTGATTTGTTAATTTAATATCAAATAACAATGTGAAATACTTTCAAATGAACCGATTAGAAACCTTTGCCCTTTTACATGGCATCACTCGATCAGGATGTAACAGTGGTTATACTGGTTTTAGTGGTAATGGTTGACACAGCGGGTGGGTAATATTATGTTACCGCAGGATTATTAAATTTTAATCTGACCGCGTCCATCTCTCACGTGCTAGCAGGACCCCTCGTGGTGCCTGAAACACGTTGCTTGATCCTTTGTCTCAATTTTTTGTTTATTTTTTGGGTTCATCTTCTCTCTCTTTTACTCTCCTTTTTCGTTTTCATGTTTCTTTTTTTTTCTGGTTACTGTAATGTGACTTTTGATATGACAGAATCACACGACGAGAGGGTCTCGAAAGTTTTAATAATGAATTAATTAATATCAATTAATGTCAAATAATATGTCTCGTAAATAATTTACTTTTTTTGAAGTGAAAACTTCTTTAGAATGGGAGTGATCTGAAAAGTAAATAAACGGAAACGGAACTATGTAACGAAGCCATGAAACGGCTGCTATACTAAATAATGAGAGAAAAAGAGACAAACATAGGATTTAGACTGCGAGAGAATGAGACGGGATATAGCTATACAGTTTTTCCTATTCTCGGTCTCCTCTTTATGCTATTCTTCGTAGTTATCGCTTCTGGTTGTATATGTGTGTGTTTGAGTGCGACTGCATACTACAAAGCGTAAACACACATATTCTTTCGATACTCGAAATGTTTGTAGGTAGGAGCGATAGAGGGGTAAAAGAATAAACAGAGATAAGCACGTAGGTATGCGACAATAGTATAAGGTCCAAACGAATCGACGGTCGACATAAACAATGAAGGTGCGTGGTATGTTTTTTTTTTTTATCAAAAATGTCATTTTTTTTCTACTTTTTTTTATTATTTCTATTTTTTCTAAAGACCCTACGGACTTATCGGAAAGACCCTACGGACTTATCGGAAAGACCCTACGGACTTATCGGAACCGCCCTACGGACTTATCGGAAAGACCCTACGGACTTATCGGAAAAAATCCTGACTACTTTTCAGAAAAAACCTCACTACTTTTCGGAAAAAACCTCATTACTTTTCGGAAAAAACCTCATTACTTTTCGGAAAAAACCTTACTACTTTTCGGGAAAAACTTTACTATAGAGGTGTTTTCTACACTAACAGAGGTGTTTAGTTACCATGCATTTTTTATTTACCAGAAGCAACTCGTCTCATTTCTTTGAATTGAGAACTTGCTTGCTGTGTAATATGTTATCTATTTATATGTGTTTTCAATAAAATGTATAATAATTTTTGAATGTGATAACATGAATATAATAATAATATTATAACAAATAAACCCGACAATTATCCTACTCCTGATATTCTGCAGTCGTCTCTTTCTCTCGAAACTTAGTTTTTCGAAGGTTTCACTTCTAACACGTGTGATCTGCCCACATGATATTTTTTATTAATAATTAATTATTAAATATTTATTACAATTTTTCTGATATTTGATATTATTAAAAGTAAAATAATAATTTGTATATCTTTAATATCAAACCAAACAATTTTAATTGTAATTTTAATTTTTATAATAATTTATATTGTGTTTAAAATATTTAATAAATTTTTATTATAATTATTTATTTATTTTATTTTATAATTTAATTTTTTGTATATTGTGTTTAAAGTGTGTTTCATAAATTTTATTATATTATTATTTATTTATTTAGTATTTTTTAATTTATTATTTTTATTTTATTATTTTTTAATTTAATATTCTTAAATAAATATATTAATATATGTGAAGTGTTTTTTCTTATATTAAATATAATTCAGTTTACTGTTACTACATAAATTACATGATCTCATTTCGTTGGTTGTTTTTAGGTGTGTTGGGAAATTGTCCTCTGGTGCAACCACCAGAATGGGGTGCGGTACGAGAAAGGGTCCTCGAAGACGGTACTCTACAGACCGTATATTCCTGCGAGGAAGGTCGCAGACTAAGAGGACACAAGGTAGCCACTTGTACGTTGAACGGTTGGGATCATCCCGTACCCAAGTGCGTACTTTTAGGTAAGTTGGAATAATTATGACCTCAGCCATTGTCCAAGCTTTCCGACAATTATTTAAGCAAAATGACCTCGAACAAAGACCTCAAAAGGCTTCCTTGAATTAAATTATTATTTGCTTGACCTTTTCTACCAACCTTCTAAGAATTTCAACTTATTTATATATTTCATGTTCTTTATCCAGACACAAAGTGTGAAAATAATAATTTTTAATATTATTATCATTATTACTTATTTTAGATAAAAAATTTTTTATTGGATATTATTTTATTGGGGGGAAGATAAAGGGAAGAGGGTTCATCGGTGACTCACATGGAATTTAATTTAAATTACTAAACAATTAAATTAAATTAATTTTAATACAAGAAATTTTCGATAATATTTGAATAATATTTAAATAATAAATATTATACATGTGTATATTTGTTCTTGATAAATATAAAAAATACAATAATATCATCTTACACGTGAATCGTTGAAAAGATAAAATTTTTACTTAAACAAATACATAAAATTATGGAGAACTATCGCACTGCTCTTTTAAAATATTTTAAAATTCATTTTTTTTTTCCTTGTTTTATCATAATTTTTATTCTCCGCGAATGAACTTATAAAAATAAAACGAAAGACGTAAAAACGTTGAAAGTATTTCATTTATATTTTCAGAAAAATTCACAGTCATTTTTATATTTCGCAGAGAAAGAAAAAAGAAAAAAAAAAAAAAAAAAAAAAAAAAAAAAAAACAAAAAATATTCGTAGCTTTACAGGAACTGTATTAAACTAAATAGATTTTCTTGAGTTTTTTTTTCTCTCTCTTTTTTTTATTTTTTTTTTTTTTATATATAACTCAATGCATATTAAATGAGATAGAAATTGCGTTTCGTAGATGAAAAGAAATATAATGTTAATTTTAATCGACTAAAAGTCCTGTATAAAATATATTTCTGTGTGTATACGTTAACTATGGATGAAATATAAAACAAACAACAGAGAGAGACAGAGAGAGAGAGGAAATAGTTTATTTTTTTTTCTTTTTGCGAGATGCATTCGCGAATAGAAGGTATTTGTGTAGGCGAGCGCAAACATTTAAAATCCGGTTCTAAGCTTTTTCATTGAGCCTCTCTGCGATTCATCCTGATGGACGGGCTTTAACCGCTTGTGGATTCTCTCGTATCAAACCACAGTGAAAAGATAAAAAGAGAAAGTGAGAGTCAGTGTGAGAAATAAAGATAGAGAGAGAGAGAGAGAGAGAGAGAGAGAGAGAGAGAGGGGGGCGGGAGAGAGAGAGAATGAGAGTCATAAACTCCGGATTTCCTTTCTAGTGGGGGAGTAGTCCTTAACGGGGGATACGAAATTCATATATAAAAATGAAAAAAAAAAAAGAAAAAAAAAAGGAAAAATGTACATAAATGAGAGTTGAGATAAAAGTAAATATTATATCTTTCTCTCTCTCTCTCTCTCTCTCTCTCTCTGACTGTTTCTTTCTCTATGTTTCTGTTTAAAAGTATACAAGTAAAAAAGAAATGGAATATTTTGATTACCATTCATACGATACTTTAAAATATTCGTAATAGCTTGATAAGAAATATCCAAATATTACAAATATGTTTTGTCCATTATCGTAAGTAAAAAAATATCTCGAATGTTTTTGTTTTTATCGAATAATAATAATGTATAATAATTTTAATATATACAATTGCATTCGAGATATTATTGTTAAAACATTCGAGACCACAACATTTTTTTTTTCGAACACGGTTTAAGGTGCCATATCTTTTTTTTTTTTAATTATATTGCCAATTTTACAATGCCAAATTATTTGGTTTTTTTTATAGTTTAAAGATAGTATTTATACAAAAAAAAAAAAAAATGTTTTATTTTAACGTATATTTTCCTCAAAATAATTGATAATAGCTAAATATGATTGCACGTATGTGTACACTAGTGCAAGTGGTATCGATTGGGTTAAATAAGAAAATAAAAAAAAAAAAAAATAATATTATATTAATATAAATAATTAGCAATGAACTTTCAAGTTCGTAATGTTAATTAATTAATTAATAATAATAATAATAATAATAATAATATTATAAATAATTACAAAATATTATTATTCGATGATAATGAAATAAATTTGATGCTCTATATTTCTATATTATTATTTTTACAGTTAATTATTATCATACGTATAATATATTACAATTGGAATAAAAATAATATAAAAAATATAGAATTAACAAATATTAGAATTAAAAATTAAAAAAATATACAATTAAAAATATAAGAATTGAAAATTAAAAAAATATACAATTAAAAATATTAGAATTGAAAATTAAAAAAATATATATGTAGAATTAAAAATATTAGAATTAAAAATGAAAAAAATTTGAATTTAAAAAATTTATTTAAATAAAACAAATATTTAAAAATAATATAAATATTATATATAATATTATATAATTTTAATTCATTATATTACCATTAACATTAATAAACTCTTTAAATATATATTTTATAATATGTTTTATTCGATTATCGAGATAAATAAATAAATAAATAAATTAAAAAAAAAAGGATAAATATGATACGAAAAAAGCTTTTGAGAATACGTAAAAATATTGTGTGTAATATATTGTAAGATTTAAACCGCGAGTCTATTCGTTCATTTCAACGTCGAATAAGATGGACGGAATAGTGGAGAAGAAGAAAGTAGAAATGGAAAAAGAGTGAAGGGTGAAGGGTGTGGGTAGTTGGTAGGTATCTTCGATGCTGGTTGAAGCATCCGAGAGCCAGGAAAAAGGTTGTGTTGGGGAACGATGACGAATTGCTCTTTCGTAGCTCGTGCGACACCTCCCTGGGGGCCCTTCTTCGTGTGAGGACCCTTTTTGAAAAGAAACGCGACGTTACGCGAAATCCTTCCTTCCTTCCTTCCTTCCTTGCTACAATGTTTTTTCTTTCTTATTTTTTATTTTTTTCTTCATCTTCTTTTACTTCCCTTTTTCCTTACTTCATTCTCGTAAATAAGGGCCGGCGTGGATCTTTAAAGGGAAAGGGATTTCGTTGTGATTTATAGTCGGTGTCTCGCGTGCCGTAGTTGCGTTCGACACAACCGAGACATTTCTTTTCCTTACTCTCTCCACTCCCCATCCTACCCCCAACTCCCACTCCAATTCTCATTTCTGACCCTTTACCCTTCACCACCAACATCATTTCTCTTCAGCTGCAAGTTTGCACTGGAAACAAGTATTACTTACACGTGTTCGTGTAACGTGTTACGTGTGTTCGTATTAAGTTGAAGGAGAAAGTAAAAGAAAAGGGCTATTGAAAGGGTTTTGTTCATTCCTTTACTGTTACTTGTTATATGTGAGTGTGTGTGTGTGTTAGGTTTATTAAATATTTTTATTTGAGAATTATATTAGTTTTGTTGTTTGTCAGGTTAGTTTTTATTTTGTTTTTGTTAATGTACTTTTACAATTTTGAAATATAAAGATTTTTTTGTTGTTTATTTATTTTACAATTAAATGAATTCTATATAATTTAAAGTAAAGAACGTTAATTTAATTTCGTAAAATGTTCTATTATTGTTCTAGTAACTGGTTAATGGGGTCTCTGTTGTTTTACAAAATAAATTGAAAGTTTCTAGACATTTATTAGATTTTCATTTAAATAAATTTACTCTTCGAATTATTATGCAAACGTGTTCTAATTCAAATGCGAGTATATTTCAATTTATTCGTATTACCATTCATTTTGAGTTTTATAATTAAAGAAAAATTCATTTATTTATCTCTTTTAGTAGACTAAAAAAATAATTGTTAATTGATTCTTAAAATAATTCCATTCGAAATTTTGATATTTTCCAATTTAAGAAGAATAAAATAAATGTTTTTTTTTCTTCTTTATTTTTAATTAGCAATCTCGTCAGTTTTGTTTTTGTTTTATTTACTTAAAAAATAATATATATATGTATATTACGTGTAATAAAATAATTTGCTAGAATTAATGTGTAATTGTAATACGTTATTTAGATGAAGTACAAGACAGGTATTTAATTGGATGATTTATAGAGAATATATGATTAACCGTTTCAATGCTCACACATATACAATGTACACACCATGTACATATGAAACATAAATATATGGTCGAATGTTCGAATTAGCATTAGTTAATGGATGAGCAGATGTTAGTTTCACGTGCACAATAATCGATATTATTGTATCGATAGTATACTCACAGTAAATTTAGGAAATCATTTCTAATTGTAACCTATTATAATGTATTTATTTATGATTTAATTTACTTACGTTTGTATCAACAAAATATTGTGTTATAAAATTATATATCAATATTATATATTATTAATATTTAATATATATATATATTAAACAATATTAAACACAACAAACATTAAACTATTGATATAAAATTATTATATAACATATTAGACATATATATATTAAATAATTATAATATAATAATTAAATTATTATATTATATATTAAATTAATTTAATTTAATATTAAAATAATAATATATTATTAATTATATTAATAGATTATATTAATAATATATAATATTATATTATTAAATTATATATATAATATTAAAATATTAGATATATTGTATAAATATATGTTTATTTAGTGTTGGTAAATGTGGATCAGTATTTTTAAAATTATTAATATTACATATATATATATATATATTTTATTAATATATAGTTTTAATAAAATGGGATATGTGATAGGATTTCTAGTAAGTCAATTATTCGAGTTAACTCTCATATAAAGATGCGGTTATCTGGAAAAATCTTTGTGCTTTTATCACAACTATAGAAAATCTCTCGTATATGTATGAGTTATCTTTTCACCTTCTTTGAGTTTAAAAGGCTTGAGGCTCTTTCGACCTTTTCGCCATTTTACTCGCATCAAATATCTCTCTCTCTCTCTCTCTCTCTCTCTATTTCTTTTTTCTCTTTATTTCGTTCCTCAGATCTTTTAC